CTCCAGTATAACATCCTGCTGTGCAAATGGGTAGAGATTTTTGCTCTAGATAAAAATGGCTAATGAATTACCAATGAAGTCAGAACTACCCGTCTTTGCACACTGACTGGGCCTGACCAGCACTGCACCCCTCCCAGAGCTTTTGTAAGACGCTGTTGACACTTGGGTGGAATTAGCTCTTCACTGCTTATATCCTCTGATCACAGCAGGACCAAGCTCAGACGACAGCATTTCCGTCTCTGCAGTCACAGAATGACAGGACAGTGAGAGAGCTCACTCATTTCCAGTTAATCACCATTCTTACTGGAAACCCAGCTCTGATTTTCACAGCAGCAGTAACCCCAGCAGGCTGTCTGCACGGCGTGCTCTCGGGGCCAGCACGAGCTCTTCTGGTGCACGACAAGAGAAGTGCTGATTGGGAAGGTTTGGTAAATTTCTCTCTTTTTTTCTCTTTTGCTGGGCTCTGACATTCAGTGCGGCGATCAGATAAAAGGGGAAGGTGTCCTGCACCCACGCACCCTATCACACTCCCAGTGATCTGACACCCACTCAGTCAGTTACTCACTCACACCCACTTGCTCTGTGTCACACACACACTCTGGTCAGGACTGTCTGTGAGCAACAAGTGGTGCCTTCTCCCTGGCCTCTCGCTGCCAAGCCAGCTGGGCGTGGGGAGCGCAGCCGACCGGAGATCTTGCCCCAGGTTCGAGAAAAGTCCAAGTCACCGGAGGGAATGCCCCTGCATTCCCAGGCATTGTGGCACAGCACGGACCCCAACAGCCCCAACCGTGCAAAGTGGGATGGCAAAGCTTTCACACACTTGTGCCACACTTTGGCTCTGTGTACCATAGAGCTCAGTGCACAGAGAGCTGTAGTGAAATGAGGGCGACAGAACAAAATCATCGCAAAGCAAATAAGTGACGGTGCAGACAGGGTGTGATCAAGGGAAAAGACTGGGAGGAGTGGGCTCATGTACAGGAGGTGCTGTGTGTCCTGGGCAGGCCTGTCCCCTTGTGTGCTTTCTGGTAGTCGAGCGGGCCTGTAACTGGGGGTCTCCTGCTTTTCTGGAGCACCGGTTCCACAGAGAGGCTTTAAAACAGTGCGGCACATTCTAGGGGTGGGAGAGAGTTAATTATGTTTCATTTTCCTGCTCCTAATTACTCAGTTGGAAGTGGTTTTCTTAACTGCTGGGGGGGGCCCTGACAGTAGAGGACCCCTGCAGCTTTCAGTGCAGTTTTCTGGCTCCCTGTGTGCCCAGTGCCCCGCAGGGCCCTGGCAGGCTGCAGGCAGCCCTCAGCTGCGGGCGGGTGAGGTGGCAGCGCAGAGCCGGCTGGCAGAACGTGGGCCGGAGCGTGTGTGGGAGGCACAGGGAGGAAGCAGCTGAGAGGCGAACCAGAAGAGGCTCTCATCAGATCAGCAGCTTCCTGAACACACAGCCTGCGTTTTTTTTCAACTGCACACTCATTTCGCGCTGAGGCTCAGCTCCGGTGCCACCGAGTCGGAGCTCTCCTGGCTCGCAGCTCGCTCGCGAAGAGGATCGAGGGATGAGGGGTGCCATGGGGAGCCCCTGACTGGCCAGCCTTCAGGTGAGTGCGGAGCTGGAGCAGGACTGGCTGGTTCCCGGCGGGTCTGAGCTGTAACCCTGCTGTCTGTGGCTCAGGGCAGCTCACACAGCCCAGGTCTCCTCTGGCTTTTAGACGGGCTGCTGTATGGGGAGGGGAGAGGGGGGCTGCACGGCGCGACACTGGTTTCTGATGCGACTCTGTTTTGGCACTCCCCTAGCCCGGAGCGGACGGAGCTCCCTGCCGCTCGCGTGTGTCCTGGTGGGAAAGGGTGGATGAGAAGGAGGGTATTGAGGCCCGACCGGACCGGACCCTGGGCGCGGAGCAGGAGCAGCAGACGCAGAGCAGCTGGGGAGAAGTTGAGCAAAGAGAAAGACGCTGAAGAGGCAAACTTGGCTTTCAAGTGGCGTGGGGAAAACCACCAGGGTCTGGGACGACAGCAGGAGCTCCCGGGACAAGGTAAGGTGGAGAAGAGGTCTATTCTGAACACTGACACTGTGCTGTGGTAGTTCATGTTTACTGTCTAGTAATTGCGATGTGACTACAGCAGTGTAAGGACTTACCAGCGAGCAATGAAAAATCAAGGTGAAAGAGGAGAGGAATCGAGGCCAGGACATTTCTCCCCTCGGGCAGCAGCTGGTGTTGCAGAAGATGCCGCATGTTTAGATGGCTCTGCAGACACACGGTCCTGGTGCAAAACTGCACGATTTTGCAGGCATTCCTCCTTTGGGAGGCAGTAAGACAAGCCCCTGCTCTTGCTGCGCCTCGGAGATGAAGACCTCTGTGCAGGAGTCGCTCCGAAGATTTACCTTGCCCAGAGGTCAGACATCACCTCAGGACTTTTTAAGTGTAATAATGAAAATGTCCTGAATGATGACATTGTTAATGCCGAAGGCAGCCCATGGAGACAGCAGGGGGTGTGGAGGGGCACAGCTCTCTGTCACTGGGACTGAGCCGATTAACCCCACCAGGGACAGTCAGGGACTGACGTTGGGGCGGCTTGTATCTGGAAGAAGTGGGGTTCAGTTCCAGCGACAGGTACCTTTCTGTATGGAGGCTGCATGGTCTCCGTATGTGTGTTTGAGGTCTACACTTACATTTCACAGTCCTTCATTAGTCAGGCACTTTTAACCCAAGCAGCTTACAGCCAATTTCTCCTGGCGTTCCTCATCTTCAGCCAAAACGTTCGGCTTGCGAACCACAGGAGAAAACTACCTGGACATGTCCAGACGATTATAACACCGCTAACATCTGTACAACGCCTCTATCATGTCCCCAGGCCAGAGCAATGGAACCTGCTGCTTTTCATTCCAGCGGAGCTCGTTACTTGGTTGAATTCTTGACTGAATTAGCAACTCACTTGATTTGGATTGTTTGCAAGTTGCTGATCTACTTAGGAACTGGAGACCACGGTCACATATGAAATGCAATAGTTAACAAACAACTTAAAAAAGTTAAAAGACAGCTTCCAGCATGTTCCTGACGTGAAGACAACGACGAGCTCCAGTCAGTCCTGTGTTATTAGGGCTCGGGGGTGTAACTCTGAGCTCAGCTGGAACTGGACCCTGCAGGTGTAGAGCTGCCCAGGACTGGGGATGGGACTGCTGGGACAAAGCGGACAGATGAACTGAAATTCAGCCAGGGCCTCAGGATCCATACCCTCTCTCTTTCCGGTTGCCTCTGCAGGCAGGCAGGTACCTGGGTTAGAAATCATATGGCAGTTCTGGAGGGAGCCCAGCGCTGGTCAGCGGTCAGGACAGAGGTCTGGGCTCACAGGCTCAGTTACAGTACAGGGCCCAGGCAGGAAAGAGCCTGTGCTTAACAGGATGTTACACTGGTGTCGCAACGTTGCCACTGACTGTACAAGAAGAGGTAGAGCTTCCATCCAAAAGCCTCAAAAGTCCAATTTCTCTGTCTCTTGCTTTCCTGCCTGCTGTGCTCGCACCTGGGGCAGAACCCCTGTGCTGGTACTAGTCCTGCGCTGACGATGGCCACCTTTTCCCAGCTGTTCTCAAAATGGATTTTAGCAGAAAGAGAGATATAGGCACCGGCTCACACCATGCATGACATTTAACTTACAGATCTTTTATGTACCGTTTGGCTTTGCTAGGGTTTGCTTTGCATCCCTGTTTTGCGTTCTGTCGCGTGCTTTGCCTGCAGCCACGTGAGGGTCCGTTCCTGAGCGCGCCAGCCCTGCCTGTGGCTCGGGGCTCCGCACGCGGCTGGGAGAGCGAACTCTGCGCTCGGGTTTTCTCGCGGGGGTCAGAAAGCGCTCAGAAACACCGAACTCGCAAGACTGTACTAACAGCTCATGTATCAGTGCTGTTGGCACGGGGATAAATCATTTGACCTCCAAGGTGTGGAGGAATGGTTAGGATTCCGAATGTAGTCTTGTAAAAGGACTGGGCTGTTTCCATCTCCGGAGCGAGGCGCAGGTGCCGGCTCGTCCCCAGTGCAGAGACAGTGATGTCAGTAAGAGGAGTGTGTTTGCTGTTACTTCTCGGCTCTTTCTCACGCTCAGTGACATACAGATGTTTCGTTAAGGACGGCTGCAAAACACTTCATTTCACATGCCGGGCTGAAAGCCGCGGTGCCACCAGGCTCGAGGTTGCCTAACGTGTGCGTGACGTGACAGACATTCCTGGCCTCTGCGCTCACCTCCCGAGCCTTCCTCCACGCGCCGCAGTCGCGTTTAGACATGTGCGCCAGCGCGGGTGTCTTCGGGCTCAGGAGCTCTGGAAAGGCACCGTCAGTGAGCTGAGCGTCAGCGAGCCGGAGAGAGGTATTCGGTGCGTGCCCGTTCCTGCACGCGCTCCCCGCGAAGCCGCATTCCTAGCGTGTGTGATTCCCTGCGCCTCCGCGAGCCGAGAGCCCGGGTGCACGCTGGCAGCGCAGAGCCGGGATGGCAGTGCGGGCTCGTCTCAGGTGAGTCCTGTCGTCTCCCTGCCCCCCTCTCGCCTTGTAACAAGGTCGTGCTGTCGGTCTGGGACAGTGGAAGGACAGCGGGGAGTCCCGGAGACAAGGCGATAGCAGAAACGACTCCTTCATTCCAGCTATTCTACGAATTTAAAGACGACTTGGCCATCGGACTGTCGGTATCCCCCGCGAAGGAGTTTACTATGATACCGTGTGGTGCTCTATTCTGCTTTACTTCGCGAACGCCACGTGAGATTAAGTGGTATGATTACTGCTATAGTGTAGTGTAATTACATCGTTGCCTATAGGTAAACTTTAAATATATCATTGTAAAAATACAAGTATTATAGAAACCGTGGCACGGCGAGGTCTTAACATATAAAACTACAACTGTCATTCAACCATTTGAAAGCGGCACCATAGTTTTCTCCGTGTAAATCCTGTAACTGTGGGCACCGCGCCTCTCTGAGCTCAGTCCTCCTTGGACATCCGCTGGCGAGCTGATCTCCCGCGGCCCGGCGCGCCCCCGAGTCCTGCGGGACATTCATGCACCACATACAAAACACGCGGGGAAGCATCACTTCAATAACAAAAACAAAACAACGTCGCTGTGTCAGATTGCGAAAGCGTGTAAGACCACGGGCTGTGTTGAGGCGTGTGAGGAGTGAATGCGCTGGGCGGTGCGGTTGTGTGTGGGGACGGTGTGTGTACTTCCCTGCGGTGTGGGGGTGCTCAGGGGCTCTGGAAGACAGTGTTGGGGTTTGGGGGACACTGCGATACTGATATTTGGAGGAGCCTGGATGACTTCTCTCACCTGCAAGTGTGTGTGGAGTTTCAGTGTCTGTCATCTCCCTCCCTCTGCTCACCCCTGCCCTGTGCCCTCTCCTTCCCTCTCTCTCTGCAGCGTGGCAGCGAGGAGCTGAGTGCCCCTGGGTGTCGGCCCCCCACCCCCCCGTCCTGGGACGCACAGCATGGTGCTGCTCTGCCCCGCCAGCCCCCCCGCGCACATGGACCAGCCCACGCCGCCCCCCCCCACCACGCGCAGACAGGCACGCCTCCAGGAGAGGTGAGGGGCCCGCGGGGCCGCAGTCGAGGGGCAGCCAGGCTCCTGTGGGAGCCCGCAGGGTGCTGAAGTGCTGGTGCTGGGAGGGGAATGGCTCAGCCAGCAGAGCGGGGGGCACTGTGCTCCCATTTCCACGGAAGACAGGAACCGAAACGTTGAATGGGAGTTCAGGCCTCCGCCCAGCTCTCCTTGAGGGCTCCCGGAGCTGGCTGAGCCGCCACCCTGCCGCTACAGCCGCAGTGACCGCAGATCTTCCCGTTTCGCCTTCTTCCGCGCCAGTTCTGTTAGTGTCTCCGTTCCGGCCGTAGTTTCTGTGCCCTGTCTGCTCTGGGACTGGGCCTGAAGCCGGTGCCCGCTGCGAGGACTCTGGGGCCGGGGCAGGTGGCGGGCGGAGAGCCTGTCCCGGAGGAGGCGGCTGTTGCTCGCCCTCGGCTCTCCCACCGTCTCATGCTGCTCCCTGGCAGAATAATGTGGTGCCCCCGTTAAGAAACGCGAATGAGCCCGTTAGTGCAGGCAGCCCCCAGCGAGAGCGGACCGTAGACCTCGGGTGTCTGTCCTGACGTGCTGCTTCCAGGTGCCGGATTCCCGCTGGAGCAGCGGGGACGGAGTTCTCCCGCGCAGTCTTGGTAGTGACTTGTTAGCTGATCCCAGGGTTTCTCCCACTGTTTCCCGAAAGAACCCAGGGAATGGGCTTCAACAGCATGGCTGGTTTGCTTGTTCAAGACCCCCACAACCCTCTGTGTAGACTTGCCTCCTCTTCTCACAGGAGAGTGTTTCGAGAGACAAAGGATGGGGTTAATTAGCAAGCTCATTAGTAGTAATTAACACAGCCAGCAAGTGCCCCCTTCTTGTGAAAGTTGCCGCAGACAGCTCGCGGGGTATTGGGGCAGTATTTTCTGGATGGTTTTACCAGGCTCAGGCGGTTTTTCTGTCTGTGTCCCCCATGACGTGCGTCATGCCTGCGCCTGTGCCGTGGTTGGACTGTGCTCTCCTCTGCCTGCCTCATGGCCCTGTCCCAGTAGGCTTTGCTGTGGGTGGGATAATTGGGACACAAGCTGTAGGACGGTCAAACGCCTGAAGCCTGGTGCCCCCCCTGACAGTCTGCTTCTGTGCACACGTGTGTCTGCAGGAGGGGCTCCAACGTGTCGTTGGTGCTGGACGTCAGCTCTCTGGGTGCCGTGGAGCCCCTGTGCTCCATCTCCACACCGAGAGAGATCACTCTGCATTTCCTGCGCAACACTCGACGCCCGCTGACAGCCGCTGAGCTGCAGGAGGCTGCTGCCAACACTCAGGAACTGTCCCAGGAGTACCTGGTACTGAACCCTCTCCTGTCGGCTGTGATCACTCTCTCCGCTGCTGTGTCACTGTCTGTCTCTCTGCTGCTGTCTCCCTCAGTTCAATTCAAGAAGCTTTATTGGCATGACCAGTGAATTTCAGTGTTGCCAGAGCATATAAAATTAACACAACATCTACAGACATTTACAGACAGCTCTCTCTCTGAGTCTCTCTTTCCAACTGCTCCTGTCTCTCTCTGTCTGGGTCACTGCCTGTCTCTCCGCTGATGTCTCTCTCTCTCTGTCTGTGCCACTGTTTCTCTCTCTGCCACTGTTTCTCTCTCTGCCACTGTTTCTCTCTCTGTCACTGTGCCTCTGTCTGTGTCACTGTGTGCCACTGCTTCTGTCTCTCTCTCTCTCTCTGTGTCACTGTCTGTCTCTCTGTCTGGGTCACTGCCTGTCTCTCCGCTGATGTCTCTCTCTCTCTGTCTGTGTCACTGTTTCTCTTTCTGTCACTGTGCCTCTGTCTGTGTCACTGTGTGCCTCTGCTTCTGTCTCTCTCTCTCTCTCTCTCTCTCTCTATCTCTCTATCTCTCTCATTGGTGCCTTTTTTCTCTTTCCTTCTCCTACTATCTGAAAAATCTGCCTGTCTCTCTGTGCCCGCACAGTCCTGTCTGTCCTCCTCCACCGAGAGTCGCAGGGCTGCCCCAGTGACTCAGCCTGCAGCTCTGGGTGCTCCTGCAGCAGCTGGGGCTCAGGTTCTGCTCTGTGGAGGGGAGAGGCATCTTCCTGCCATGAAACCCAGCTCCCTTTGAAAAGAAACAACAGGTGTTGCAGCATGATAGGCAGTGGTCCTGAACAAGTAATTAAATTCAAAGCTGTGTTTCCTTGTGTCTGCACCAGCATCCCCTTCTCTGCCCTCAGCAGACCTAGCCTCAGATTTTCACATTTTCTCTTGCTTCTGAAAGTCATTGCCGAATTTGGAAGATGCAAATCTCGGAGAAAACTATGTACAACGTTTTTGCACACATGGATTAGACAAGTGAGGCATGGTGTATCTGTGGTGGCAGATTCTGTCCTCCAGCCCTGCAGCCCGTCTGCTAAGCGCATGTCTCTGTTCTCCACAGAAAATCCCCCCAAACTTCGTGGACCAGGCGGAGCTGGACATCCCCGGCCATGCCTTAAAGGACAGATACAAAACCATACTGCCGAGTGAGTGAGAATGATGCCGCTCACTGCCTTCTGGAGATATTAGGAGCCCCAGTGAGGACCAACAGTAGCAGACAGTGCCCCAGCAACTCCCACATCACAGCCCCACTTCCCCAGAACAGGCCTCTCAGCTCGGTTCTGTGAATTCAGCTCTACATCCAGGGTCCCCATCACAACCTTACCTGAAGCTGTTTCTGCTGGTGGAAAGGTGCCCAGATGTTTTGGAAACTCCTGGAATTCACTCTGTGTCCCAGTCAAGTCACTCCTGCTGTTTACGGGGGCCAGCTTTGTGTGCCACAGGTTCCTAATATATTGGCCAGAGGGTGTGCCAACAGTGAAGTTTCCTTCGCTGCTCCATTCTGCATTAAGAAGGGGCCAATTCCCTGGTGATATTTACAGACAAAAGAGAGCAGACACAGTAAAAGGGCTGATGTCAGAGGTTGAGAGGGCACAATACTCTGTTAGCAGGCATGTTGCTGTGTTTCAGCTCAGTGGCTGAACAATCCCAACTCTCTGGGAAGTCTCCTTCCTATATTCTGCTGTGTGTCGTGGGTGGATATTCCATCACAATCGCTGCTTCACATCTGTCTCACAGTAATTCATTAATTTCTGTTGCGGTGGTGTTCCTTAAGCATTGCCCAGACATGAAATTCATTACTCATCATCCTTTACAGATGAGAGGAGGCCATTCGGCCCACATTGATCGTTTGCTGAGCTGCAAATCTGAATCCTATTCAGCTGCATCTTAAAGGATTCAAGGGCATCAGCTTCCACAGCCCTGCTGGGCAGCTTGCTGCAGACCCCTACCTCCCTTGGTGTAAAGTGCCTCCTGTTTTTGGTCTTGAGTACATGCCCCCCTCGTTGCCACTTGTGTGTCTGTAGAAGCACACAGGGTCTGGTACTTTGAAAGTCTGAATGGAGTACCCTCCCCGACAGTCTACTCACTGTGACCTGTTTCTTTCAGACCCCCAGACGCGGGTGTGTCTCTGGAAGCCAGGCGCAGAAGGAGATGGGGAGACCTACATCAACGCTAACTACATCCGAGTAAGAAGGAGGGGGATCAGACAGAGATCAGCTGAGGGGTCACTGCCATCACCACTATGTGCACCCTGTATATTTGAGTATATATTCAAATACACTAATGAATGTTTGAATATTCTACATCTTACACTAACCTCAAACTCAGTCCTAACCCCAAATCTAACCCCCGTCTTAATTGTAACCACAGCCTGAACCCCAGACCTTGTTTCTGTAGGAATACCGACACCATAGGTGGTAGTTCATAATCATTCACAATGTGTTCTGAGACCAGGGCAGACCCACACTGCGTACTCTCATATGGACAAAAGAGTCCACATATGTCAAGATCTTAACCTTGAAAGTATATTTGAGATCTATTCTAATATTACAGCACTGTAACCCTCTCAGTGACCCACGCCCCTCCCTGGCCCTTGGATCAGCCTGTGCTCTGTCGCCCCCTGCAGGGTTATGATGGTACTGAGAAAAGCTACATCGCCACCCAGGGCCCCATGGTCAACACTGTGTGTGACTTCTGGGAGATGGTGTGGCAGGAGAGGAGTGCCGTCATCGTCATGATCACCAAACTCAAGGAGAAGAAGGAGGTGGGGGAACGTTGCATTTGTTTCTAACTTGTAGTTTGTTTTCTTTTTATTTTGTTCTGAAAACAAGAATGTCCATGTTATATAGCTCAATGTTGCATGTGTTGGCGTTATTGTTCCATTTGTGCCTTGAAAGTTCAGAAAATAGCAAAATAAATGACAATTTATAAGTGCAGGTTAATCCTTGATGTCCACGGTGACAATATACAAAATCCTCTTAAAGAAATAAAGGATTAAGGCAGACAGATGTCAACTGGGGTTGAAATTAAAGTCTCGGTGCAGAAAACTGCACATCGCATGGTACCACGCCCCGAACGCTCCTGCAAACCCAGCTGTCTGAACTGCCATAGTGTGAATGCTCAACTAGGAAATTAATAAACGAATAATGTCTTATTTTTTCTCTGTGCTGTGCTGCAGAAGTGCGTCCTCTACTGGCCAGAAAAGACAGGGACGTACGGCAGGTTTGAGGTGACCGTGGACGAGGTGAAGGAGTGTGACAGCTACACTCTCCGAGTCCTCACTGTCAGAGTAAGTCAGGGCGGGGGTCCCCCGTGCACCCCAGTAACGGCTACACTCTCCGAGTCCTCACTGTCAGAATAAGTCAGGGGGTTCCCTGTGCACCCCCAGTGACAGCTACGTCTTGCCATTCCTGAAAGCTGATGATAATTACATGGCTCACAGGTGCAGTCAGAGAGTCGTCAGGTGAAGCACTACTGGTACTCCTCCTGGCTGGATCACCAGACACCGGCCTGTGTCCAGTCCGTGCTGAAGCTGGTGAAAGCGGTGCAGGAGAGCCAGCGGGCCCTGTGCTGCCCAGGCCCCATCATCGTTCACTGCAGGTACTTCCCCTCCCTATGCTACAGCCACAGCAGAACAAGAGTTACTCATTTACACAACACTCAGCACCTTCCACATAGATCACCAGTGCGCATACTGACACATCACACAGCACCCTACCACCAGCCAGAGCACCAGTGTGCACACTCACACATCACCCAGCACCTTTCACACAGTCAGTGCACCAGCGTTCACAGTCACGCATCACCCAGCACCTTTCACACATTCAGTGCACCAGTGTGCAGTCTTACACAGCACCCCATACCTTTTATACAGGCAGCACACCAATGTACACACTTACACAGCACCTAGCAACTTTCACAGTCAGTGCACCAGAGTGCACACTTACACATCACCCAGCACCTTCCACACTGTCAGTGCACCAGAGTGCACACTTACACATCACCCAGCACCTTCCACACAGTCAGTGCACCAGAGTGCACTCTTACACAGCCTGATCTCACTGTGTGTGCGTATGTGTGCTCCTCAGTGCAGGGATCGGACGGACAGGCTGCTTCATTGCCACCAGCATCGGCTGCCAGCAGCTGGAGAAGACTGGCGAGGTCGACATTTTGGGCATCGTGTGCCAGCTGAGAATTGACAGGTGTGTACCCTCCTCTTCCCAACCATACATGAGAGAAACATGTAACACTGCAAAACAGGAGACGACTGCTGTGTTAGTGAGTGCTAGTAGATGCCTATTAGTGCAATATGAAGGATGAAGGGTATGCATTAGTAATTTATCACTGGCAAGGCCTAGTCAGCCTTTATACAGAGATTAATATTCATGTGCCAGATGCTGGTGTATCATTCCTGTACAGCTAACACATAAACTGTGGAATTGCAATAGAAATTCTGAAGATATGCACTTTGTAAGTAAGTTTGGTGTATTGAAAGCCCGCGGGCTTGCTGTCCATGGCCGCCTGGCTGAGCCAGCTGTCCTGTGCCTGCAGGGGCGGGATGATTCAGACCAGCGAGCAGTACCACTTCCTGTACCTGACCCTGGCCCTGCACAGCCGCCAGCTCACCGGCACGGGCCCGGAGCCGCGCTGAGCCTCCGCCCCGCCCCACCCCGGCCCCCGCGCGGCTGGGGTCAGGGTGTGAGCCGTGAGCTGCAGCCGGGCCCGTGGCCGCTGGCCTGGCCGGACCGGGAGGACTGCACCTGGCGTGTCACTGCGCTGTCCGCACCTGGATGGAAGCCGCCAGCAGGAGATCATGTGACTGCTCCTCTTCCTCCTGAAACCTGCTTCCTTTTATTTATTTCATTTTGCTGCTTTGTTCCCTCCACCCCCTGCCCCCGCCCTCGCTGTCACCCACCTCTCGGGTCTTTTGCGATATTATACTCCTTTCCTCTTGCCGGAAAACCCACTTCACCTGTCCCGCTGTCCATGAGCTGGGGTCACCCCCCTTCACCACTGTGCTGCTGCTGAGGGGCGTCGTGCACGTGGGAGATCAGGGCTCTGATCGTACTTAGGGGGGCTCAGTTTCATGTAAGGGGTGCAGGGAGGCTGATCGCTGGACGCGGGGCCGACAGGCTGGCCATTGCATACCGCCGGTGTGGACACTAACACAGCTCCCCTGGGTAATCAGCAGCCCCCCATCACGCCTGGCCTGTTCTGCTTGTCCTTATCGAGCAGGACAGCCCTGGACTGAACCCTCCTCCCCAGACCTCCACGAACAGCGCCTGAATGTCTTTACCTGCAGAGCCGCAGAGACGCTTGTTCTCTGTTTTTCCATGAAGATTTCTATGGAAGGTGGCTTTGGGAACAGAAGAGGAAACGTGAAATCCAGGCGTGTCGAGGCACACACACGCGGCAGCCACAGGGCACCCTGCATGGGGACTCCAGCACCCCGAAACACAGGGGTTCCCCCTGGGGCGGGGAGTGTGGTCCAGAAGCCTTTCCAGTGGTTTTAACTTTTCTAACAGAATGTTTTATACTTCACCTGGTGTCAACACAGGCGCAGAATTTTCAGAACTGTGAATTTATGTGCCGTGGAGACTGCAGACTGCAAGATACGTCATGAAAATAAATCGGTAAATAGAAACAAGGACTGTGGTGAATTTGTGTTAGAACAAACTATTGTATTTCTTAATATCTACCTGAACGCAGAAGGATTTAGACTGACAGATACAATAGTTAGACAGGTGATTCAGTCAAAAAGAAGTATGCAAAGGAACAAGTAAGAGGTTTATTCCATGCTGAAAAGAGAAGAGAGAAAACGGAATGTTTCGGCCGTTAAACCTTCTTCAGGTGTGAGTGAGGTGGCCCAAGTCACCTTCTTCAGGCTGAAGAAGGCTCCACAACCGAAACGTTTTGTTTTCTCTCTTCTCTTTTCAGCATGGAATAAACCTATTACTTGTTCCTTTGCATCCTATGCATGCTGACGCAGCTACCTAGCACAAAAAGAAGAATGTACACTTTTATTTAAATTTCTTTATTGAATGTCATTCACAAATTAGTGATATCTTAATATCGTATCATAATATTTTGTCAAAGAGTGTTGAACAAGAATTCTTCCTGTTGAGCAGATAAAGATTCTCAGTTGCATCACCCTGCAACACCGCTGGCAGCCCCCCTGATGCTCAGCAGGTGTGAGCCTGGTCATTATCTGGCTGGGAGACCTCTAGGGAAAAACTAATATTGCTGCTGGAAGTGGTTAGGGGGCCAGCAGGGGGCGCTCACCCTGCTGTCTGTGTGAGTCCTAATGCCCCAGTATAGTGACGGGGACACTATACTGAACAAAAAGGCACTGTCCTTTGGATGAAGATGTAAAACCGAGGTCCTGACTCTGTGTGGTCATTAAAAATCCCAGAGTGTTTCTTGAAAAGAGTAGGGGTGTAACCTTGGTGTCCTGGAAAAATTTGGCCTTTACCAATCATGGCCCCTAATAATCCCCGTCTATTAACTGGTTTAATCACCCTGTTCTCCTCCCCACTGATAGCTGGTGTGTGGTGAGCATATTGGTTCACTATGGCTGCTGTCACATCATGGAGGAGTGTCCCCATTACCTGTAAAGGGCTTTGAGTGGAGTGTCCAGAAAAGCGCTACAGTATATAAGTGTAAGGATGTTGATGATGGTGGTAATAGAATTGTTTGTATGGTCAGCCTCACACATGTAGTGATATCTCACCTAGGTCAGTGCAGGTACAAAATGAATTAACACATGTTGTGTTTGCTGCGCTCCTGTTGTGTGCTGAGGCTCTGTCTCCCCATTGACCCTGTATTGGGTGACGTGGTGAGAAAACGGGTGGATGGCGTGTTTGCTGTAGTTCTCTTTTCAACAGTTTGCCACAGTGCACGTTACAGATTGGTAATGCCATTAGCAATAGAGCAACAAGTGAGGAAAACAAAAAACCAAGCAAGAGAAAAAACCTCTGAGAGTCCCGGGCCTGATGTCCCCCCACCTCAACCCATGAGACTGTAAATGAAGAAATGTGTAAAATCCAGTCTTGTACAGAGGATCTGTTCTGACAGACCTTATGGTGCATCTGCTGGCCTGAAATTAGGTTTTACAATTCATTGCGTGATTACTTACGACATTTGTCTTCCGTGTGATGTCACGTCCAACTTGGTCTTTCGGTCCTCCAGTAATTAAAGACTGAAAGCGCTTTGCGGAGGAGATGGTGTACAGAATAGACGCCACTGTGTAAGCAAGCGCATCTCCGGCAGAGGGCGCTGTCAGGTGGACCCGGGAGTCGCGGTCACCCCTGCGTGCCTTCTTTGCCCAGGCGAGGTTTTCTTCAGGCGCAGTCCCGAGTCAGCTGGGCATGGATGCGAAACCACACCCAATGAGGAAGGACGAGCCGCAGGGAGAGAGAGAGACGGGCAGGCAGGCAGGAAGGGAGGCTGAGCTGTCTGAGAAGGACCAAGGGAGGAATATTGATCACACGGGCCAGGGAGAAGACGAAGAATCGCGTACTGAAATTGAAGAAAAGGGGGATCCCTAGGCTACGTGTTCCGACAATAAATATTTCGTTTCTCCCTCCCGTTTCGCAATCCCGGTGGAGCGACGCCGCAGCCGGCTCAGACAATAAAACCCCGAAACTGTAACCTCATCTTCCGACCACCCCCCGACCCCCGCTCCGCGCCGCCAGCCGACTCTCCCAAGATGATCGCGCTGTTCAACAAGCTCCTGGACTGGTTCAAGGCGCTCTTCTGGAAGGAGGAGATGGAGCTGACGCTGGTGGGGCTGCAGTACTCCGGCAAGACCACCTTCGTCAACGTGATCGCGGTAATTCGGGGCTCGGGTGGCTGATGTCGCGCGTGTGCGTGTAAGTGTGTGTCAGCGGATCTGAAGGGCTGGCGAAGCGCGGCCGGGGGGATGCTCCGAGCTCCTAGCCCCGGTTTAGCGGCGCAGATCATGGCCGTTTCGCTGGTGCAAAACTGCAAACAACCGCGATGCTTTCGAGGACACGAGCAAATGGCTGACTGTGAATGTCTGTGCGTGTTCTCGGCTCGCTCTGTGTGCGCTGTGATTGAGCTACACTGGTGGTCGGGGATCGCACGGCCGTGTCTTTGCGATAATGGTGGCCGGGGTGTTTTACGCTACTGTAGCTGCGTTATGATGACTGAGGCACCCCTGTAGCACAGTGACGACATGATGTGTCACCCGTCGGGATTTCAAAACGCTCCCCCATCAGCGTATCGACAGAAGAATTAAAACCCTGCAATATTAGGTTTTTTTAGTCTCGAGTTTATACACGGAACATAAGGTGCCTTCTAAATATGTTTTAATTCCATTGTATCGAAATCATAATATATACACATTTTGCTTCTGCTTCTATACAGTAAAATGGGTATTTGACATTTTCTTTACTTTGTAGTCGATATCTGCCAGTGGAAGGCGGAGACGGGCGATCCAAAGTCAAGCACCAGAAAAGTCGAAGTCGTAATTATCTCGGTGGTTTTGCCTCCTAAATAACATATTCGGAGCACGGTCAGTGGTCGTGGATGTCCTGGCCTAGTGAGTGGGCCCGTGCTGTGAGGCAGGGCAGGGGGTTACTGGATAACTACATTGACCGATAGACTAGGCCCACTGGTGGCTGTGAGGTTTTGGTGTAAAATAAAGGCTTTTGATCAAAGGCTCTGGAGGTCTGAATCTGGGTGCAGTCCAGGCCGCTGTGGGAAAGCGCTGTCTGCTGGAAGTGTGTGGGTTTTTTTTTTACAAAGCTGCGTTTCCTCACATCTCCACGTCTTGCATCTTTGCGAGTTTAACGATCAGGAGTGATGCACTACCGGAATTAGTTCTTAATCCTAACGCTGTGCGGCTCGGGAACGCACCTGCGGGACGGGAGCGGTGCTGCGGTTCAGTGCGGCATTCTTGACCCACTAACTTGTCGCGCGCAATCCGCAGCGCGTGAGGCTGGAGGAGGCGCACCTGCGCCCCGCCAGCGCCGCTCCCACCCGCGACAGCGGGGCTCCGCGCAGGAGAGGCAGCGGGGGTGATGTCAGACGCAGGGGAGCAGGAGACACAAAGAAAGAAGAGGAGGCTCTCCGGCCCGTCCTGACGGCTGAGCTGCCTGGACCGGACAAAGGCGCGTTGAAACGAGGGGCGATTCCAAAGCGCTGGCAGGGGCTTGTTGGCAGTGTTCTTTTTATTTTACAACATGATGAACTTTGAGTCACTAAAAGTCTAGATCAGAGCTGGCCAGGTCCAGCACTGGTGGGGGGCAGGGGTGCCGGGTTATTATTCCATCCCAGCTTTCTGTTACTGACTCTCCCTAATTGGACAGATTAATTGTAATTGTGTTTTATCTGGTGTATTCTTTTTTATTGTTGTTCTCATTCTGTAAAACGCTTTGAGAAGCCACCTTTAAAGGTGCTATCTAAAATAAATAAATATTATTATTATTATTATTATTATTATTGTTCTCTCCAGGACTGGATCTGTCTGGTGCTTTAAAGAGCTCTGTTACCCTGGTGGCCTGTGGTCAAGTCTGGTGAACAAAGCACCTCAGCTGCTGACTGACTGAGGTGTTTATTGTGCGCACACTGTCTCTTCTGTGGGCAGCGACTCAACTACTGTGCTAGGCTGCTTGTACACATTGCTGCCTGGCACCTAGAAATTAAGTTAAGATCACTTTATTGGCCATATACAATTTCTTGCATTAGTCTTTTCACATGCCCCAAATTGCTCTCCATGAGACGCACAGACAGGGAGAGAAGCTTGGGGTCAGAGCGCAGGGTCAGCCATTTGTACGGCGCCCCTGGAGCAGTTGGGGTTAAGGGCCTTGCTCAGGGGCCCAGCAGAGCAGGATTCCTCTGCCGGCTGCAGGGTTGGTACCAGCAACCTTCCAACCACAGGCGCAGATCCTCAGCTGCAGTGCCACTGCTGTGGTAGAGGTATTAGTGGAAATACCTCTTGTACTTGGAAATACAAACCAGCGGGAAGGGAACGGGGGGTGCTTCTTTACCCAGAGGCGGGCGGGGGTATGGAACAAGCACAGCCGGGGGCTGCTGGAGCTAAGAGTGAGCTGGGAACAAGCTAACAGCCGAATGAGCCCCCTCCTATTTGGAGGTGTGCTGTATCCTTTCCACCCCTGGTTTGGAATTGCCTGAGCGCTGTCCTGGGGTCCCGGCCTCACTACTGCTCAGCTCCGTGCCCCCACCCCCACCAGGCCTGCAGCGTCGCCCCCTGCCGCGGGCTGGTGGGGGGCAGCTGGCCGGCAGCTGTTCACTCACCGCAGTGTCGGCACAGGGCAGACCATTCCAGTCTTCCTCCTCCAACGCACGGATTTGCCTTGAAAAGCCGCTCTTGATGGAATGGCTTAGAGGCTGAGGTGGTCCTGGCCTCAGCAGCTAGCTCACGTCTCTGGGCTTCGGGCCAGGCCCCAGTTTTCGGTCTTCATTGGCGTGTATCAGGCCCCGGGAGTAAAGACCGCTCTCGTACCCGAGCTCGAGACCAGAGCAGCATGGGCAGCCGGTCCCAGTTTGTGCACTGCTGTAGTATTCTTTGTTTGTGCGAGAGGTCGGTGCACAGCCAAGTTTTCATTGGTTGGGGGGGGGACTGGCTGTGTTCAGGGGAGCCTGGGGGGGTCTGTCTCAGGCCTGTGTGCTTCGTGTGTTAGTGGCTCCAGCTAGTGCAGGGTGCACCCCCCCGGAGCAGGGTAGGAGCCCCGTCTCCTTGTCACATGGCTGGGCATCCTGGTCAGCCAGTGGCCACCCTGGGCAGGGAGAGGCGCCAACTCTGGTGGGAGGTGGGTTAGAGAGAGAGGGAGTCGCGTGAAGTTGGGACGTCCCGATGCAGAACATCGCAGGGTGGAGATGCTGGTGCAGCAGGACAGTATTTTTGACCAGAGGGGTGTGGAATGGCTTGTGAAAGTAGTGAATTATGCTTTTCTTCAATGGCACAAGTGCAGTACCAGTGTGTACGCCTGTGTCTGCACTGAGAGCCGATTCTTGCAGCTTTCCAGCAGTGCATCCCTGCATTCGTGCGGCTGCACCTGGGACCCAGAGCTCTGCTGAGGAGGCTCCTCCTGGCCTTCAGCTGGGGGAGAGGCTCCTCAGACAGCCCCATCAGGACATAGAACCGAATGTCTCTGCGATCACAACTGTGGTTTTATTATTTGTGACTATTGGGATTCTATTAAGTTAAGGATGAGAACAAATCCTTTTCTTCCTCTGTTTAGTTTTATTTTTTTCCTCAAAATACAAACCTGCTCTGTTCTGTGTACCACCACTTCTACAACACGTTAGAGATGGGCACTTTGTACATCGCAAGCGGTTTCCCTGGCAGGGCCTGAGTCTGTGGGAAAGACATGGACAGCTCTGCTCCTCATATTTATGAATGACTTGTTTGCTTACTGTGGTAGAATTTTACAAATAATTAACTCTCTTTCTCTTTTCTCCTCTCCCTGCTTGTGCCTCCTGCTCTCTCCTCTCTGCAGTCGGGCCAGTTCAGTGAGGACATGATCCCCACTGTGGGCTTCAACATGAGGAAGATCACCAAAGGAAACGTCACCATTAAGGTCAGCAGGCAAGCATGTGGGTCTTTTGTGTGTGTGGAGTGGGTCTGGTCACTGTACAATAATACATATAAAACTCAGAGTAGAAGAAAATATATATATATAAGTATGGGAGCAAATTTTGCCATTAAAATGTGTACTAGCAGTATCATTAGAGGTGTGCACAGCTGTAGTGTCTAAGAGTTGTGAATAAGAGGGCATGAAGAACTGCACTCATCGCGTTGTAACTCTAGGTTCCTGCAGTCCTTGAGACGTCTTGGAGCTGCACCCTGCAGTGCTGTGTATGCAGGCAGCAGAACCTTGAAGTGCTCTCTAAATCTCACAGGGAGCCAGTGCAGAGTGCCCAGGACTGGAGTTACTGTATGCGCTGAGGCAGAGTAGCTTGACTGAGCTCACTGCAGGACAGACTGAGGCTTGTTTCATTTCAGACTCCAGTGGATACTCCAGTAAGATATTACTGTAGTCTAATCTCAATGCAATGAAAACGTCTATCACATTTTCCGCAGTTGTAATTATAATTTCTAGTGTTACGCAGATTTAAAACAGGCCCTGTCTGAAGCTTAAGCACAGCCTACAACAAGTAGTGAGAAGCAGGCAAGAGCCATGAGTGTCCTCTGTTGGGCGTGGGGTATCGGGGGTCCCCTGGGACAGTGTTCCTGATGCCTGTGTTTGTCATGCAGCTCTGGGATATCGGCGGTCAGCCTCGATTCCGGAGCATGTGGGAGCGTTACTGCCGTGGGGTCAGTGCCATCGTGTGAGTACCTTCTCTGGCTCTCCACCCCCCACCGCAACGAATTGAGCACACAGCTCGTTTCTGTTTTGTGAGTGATTTTAAAATGAAGGCATTTGGTTTTCATCATCCAGCCTGGTTCCCAGACGCTGTGAGTTCCTAGGTGTCCACTGCATCCTTGTGCCGTCCTGCTAAATCCCTGCCCCGCACCGGCACGGATTCAGCAGCAGGGGGAGCTCACGCTGCCTCTGGGAGTCTGTACCCATGTGTGTGTAAGGTGGCTTCTTGACAGGGGACTGATTTTGGTGTCCTCTCTGTCTGTGAAGGTACATGGTAGACGCGGCGGATCCTGAGAAGATCGAAGCCTCTAAGAACGAGCTGCACAACCTGCTGGACAAACCTCAGCTCCAGGGCATTCCGGTGAGTCCTGGCTGCACTGTTTCAGAAGTGGTTTTCACCTTCACCCCTCGTTGCTGTGCTCTGCTGACGTCTGGAGGGCCCCCTGGACAGGCACACTCACCCACAGAGGGTCTTCTGGACTCTGCATGGCTCGCAGGCTGGGGCCTGGCAGGAGCTGAGCTGTGCCTGCTGGTGGGCACCTTGTACCGGCAGGGTGGTAGTGTGTCCATGGTGCACGAAGCTCCGAGTCTCTAATGGCATCGGGTCTCTGCAGGAACCTGGAGTTACATCACTGTTATCACCCCATCATTACCAGTGCTAAAGACGATGAGCAGAAAACTGGCCCCTGGGCTCCCCCAGGTGGCTCACCGCTGACAAAGCATGAACGCGGGTTCGAGCCTGGGTCATGGCACTGCCCAGCTGTGAGTGGAGCCACTGGGCGGAGCGGCGGCTCTGAGGCAAAGGATCTGCGCCTGTGGCTGGAAGGTTGCAGGTTCAAATCCCGCAGCTGCTCCATTGGGCCCCTGAGCAAGGCCCTTAACCCCATCTGCCCCAGGGGCGCTGTACAATGGCAGACCCTGCGCTCTGACCCCAAGCTTCTCTCTCCCTCTATGTGTGTCTGTGTCTCATGGAGATGAATTCCTGATGCAAGAAATTGTATAGGGCTAATAAAGTGATGTTATGTTATGTTACGGGCAGGGTGGGAATAATCAACCAGTCATGCTCTCGGTCTCACCAGCATGAGGTCATGGGGATTGTAGGCATAAAAACCCACAATCCCATGCAGGGACAGTAAAATAAAAACCGATAAAATGACAGTGAGGCTGCACAGGCAAGAGTGCAGCACCAGGGCCGAGCCTGAACGCCCAGCCCTTTAGAATTAAAGTGTCTAATACAAGACATACTAGTACAGGATGTGAGGCCTCGGAAGTGAGTGGTTTGAAGTGCTCAGGCCATCCCTGGATGTGAACCAGTGAATTTAAACTGCCTGTGACAGATCAGCCAGCCAGCCAGCCAGGCGGCCTGTTCCCAGTGTGTGCCGCAGTGGCCGCCTCTTGAGTGACAGGCGCAGGAACGTACACAGCAGCAGCGTGTGGGCTCAGGCCCCTCCCCCTTTCTCCCTTGAGCCTCTAAGCCTTGAGCCTCCGAGATGTCAGGTGTCCAATCAGCTTCAGGGGGGGGCGTGGGGAGAGGCGGAGCACAGATGTCCTCTTAGGTGATGGAAACATCCCACAAGCCAGATGGGGAGTGATCTCTGTGGGGTTAACAGGGGGAGCAACTGTAGATGTGCAGAAATCCACAGGGACACTTACCACTGTTGTGGACAGTGAGCGTGGTAGCACTACCAGGGGGGACTGGACCGGACTGTGAGACGGGTCACACAGGAGTAACAGCTGAGTATGGCAAGGGGAGATTGAACTCCTGCCGGGCCGTGAAGGGGGATCCAGCTGGTGGAGGTGATCACGTGCAGGCAGCAGGCCAGCTGAGAGACTGGGTGGCAGGATGCCGTGAGCCCTGCAGGAGAGTTCTGATCCGTGCTGTTTTGCCCTTCCAGGTCCTCGTCCTTGGGAACAAGAGAGACCTCACTGGCGCCTTGGACGAGAAGGAGCTCATCGAGAGAATGTGAGCACTGGCGTTTCGGCTGTTCTTGGTGTTTGTGCTGTGGGAGTAGGGGTATGGAGTGGGAGGGGGGAGGGTTTGAAACCCTTAAACGTGCTCTCTTGGATCTCCGTGGACCTCTTGACGTACTGAACGTGGCTGCCAGCACGCTGGTTCTGACTGGGTCCAACCTGGGCTCGAGACAGACCGGAATCTGCTCCAGTCATTTTCTGCCATCAAGGCCAGGTGCTGTTGACCAGTCCGACTGCGGCAGGCATTTAATAGCATCCAAGCAATCAAGCAGTATATCCCGAGCCTGTGTTGTGAGCAGGAGCTGGAGTCATATGGCTTTGCACGGCTTGATCTTTTAAATCTCAGCCCTACTCGACTCCTCTCTTGTTTCCACTGCTTCATAAATTTAAGATTGCTGTGGGCATAGTGTCAGACTCTTCCACAGATCTTCAGCACTTATTTAGTGCCTGTACTGACGCATCTCACCCATTACAAAGTTATTGCCTCCGATCGACCGGGTATTGTATTTGTCTGCGTCTGTTTTGTAAATCAATTCCGTATCGCTGTTGGTCTACTTTATTGTTTTTTTTTTTTTCATTTTTCAGCACCAGTTAGTCTCAGACTCCTCTGATCCTACTCTCTCTTTCTCTTTCTGATAGGAATCTCTCCGCCATCCAGGACAGAGAAATCTGCTGCTACTCCATCTCCTGTAAGGAGAAGGACAACATCGGTGAGGCTCTGTCCCCTGCCCCTGTTTCGACTCGTCATTCTTCTCTGGCTTCCCTCTCCCACACTCACGCTCGCTGTCTCTCTGCAGACATCACACTACAGTGGCTGATCCAGCACTCCCGAACCCGGAGAAGCTGAGACCCCGAGGAGAGACGCCCCTGGTGACATCATCCCGAAACCGCTGCCCCGCCCCCTCCGTCTGTCTTCGTTCTTGAAAACTTTTCCTCCTGAAAGCAGCCCCTCCCTTCCCCTCTCCTCTGCCAAGGTCTCAGTTCTTACAAAGAGGGTTGGAGCAACATTATTTGCACTGTTAATTTTTTAATATTCTGCTTTTTATTCTAAGTATTATATTACCTTGATCAGTTAAAGTGTCAACTGAAGAAATTGCTTTGCTAATTATTTTTATTGTCACGGTTCTCGTCGTTTTGTTAAACACAAGCCCATGGGTGTGAAAGACGAGGAAGATGGGAGCTGTGGTCAGTGGTGACGCAGCCGTCGTGAAGAAAGAATTGTAAATATATCTTTTCCCCTGGTTTGTAAGCCCAGGTCTTTAGAAAGAGAGGACAACAGACAGACAAGGTGCAGCTGGAAAGAGAGGCGTGTTGGGTGAGGATGAGAGTGAGCTGGGGTTGGTGGCGGGGGTTAGGGGGGCTGTAGAAACAGGACCTGCCTTCCTGCAGGAGACTCCATGACGCTTGTGAGCAGCTCGATGACTCCTGCTGTCTGAGGGTGGCTAGTCATGTCTGTGCCAGAGCCGGTGGACTGAGTGATCAGCAGATTAGATCATCGCGCAGGTGATGACATCATCAAGAAGCTGAGTGATCAGGTGATTAGATCCTGCTCTCATTGGACGGATCTCTCTCAGCCTATCGGAATTTAAGGTTTATTGTTGGAGCTTCGGGGCCTGACCACTTAGGAGTCTCATTACAGATAATGCACTTGTTGCCCACATTTTAAGCGTATTATTTGTTTTCATCAGTTAATTAAGTTTACTGGGAGTTTGCCAGCGACTCAATCCATACAGGGCTTGAACGCCCCTCTGATGGGTGTAAATTAATGTTTACAATGTGGCGGTTTTATGAAGCAGTTACTTTGATGGTATGTTTTGCTTTATGAGCCACAAACAGTTCTGTGGCTGTAGGTGAGTGGGAAGGGAATGTGATCGACCGCCCAGCAGCTTTTTCCTGGAGAGCTGGTACGCTGTCTTTCTCTGTGTGACTGAGGAGTCTCTGGAGGGACTCTCTGCTGATCCTCAGTGCCGTTGACTCTCATGCTTAGAGCGATCTCTAGTTCATTGAGAAGGAAGGGAGTAGTTAACCTTGCACAGTATTTATTCTCCTGTGCTCCTCTGCTGTCTCTGCTCCACTGCTGCTGCCCAGGGCAGTCTTTGATGCCTGATAGCCATGTGCAAGGCTGGATAAATAACCACCCTGAGAAACTGAGGTTTTACTGAGAATCCACTAACGTGTTCTCACAGCATTCACTGGTGAGAATAAATGGGAATGGCTCTGATTCAGTGTTTGAGAGATTCTTGATCCCGTCCTGCGCTCTGAAGCTTCCAGCCATGTGGTGTTCAGGGTTTTGACCCATGGAGACAGGAGAGCACGTGGGCGGGTTGTTGGGTGGACACACACAAACACACACACACACGCGTGTCTGCGCATGCAGCGTTCAGGTGAAGCTGGAGAGGTTTTCTGTGATGTGTTGGATTTCTCTCGCTCGGCCTGATTGCAGAGGCTCTGTGCTGGGCAGCCGTGTGCAGTTCTTCTGGTCACGGGGCCTTTCCCTGGTCCTGACCCAGTACAAGCTTCTCTCTGCGGTGTTGTCTTTGTCCTGGTGTGAAGGTTTAGGTGCGTTTACTTCCAGGCCTTTGTGAAAGCGTTCTTTTTGCAGTAAGCGTTGATAGGTGGGGTTAAGATTGCCATCCGTCTGCAAGCCGGTCCTCTGGCCTCCGACCCAGGTGGGCCCCTGAGCCAGAGCGGGCAGCAGGCTGCTTTCTCTCCCGGTGCTGATGCCACCGTGATTCCCAGCTGCCAGGAAACGGGCAGTCTGCGCAGGAGGAGCGCCAGCCCTCGCAGCTCAGCCACCGCTGCATCTTTCTTGACATCATCACCAGCTCAAGGCAGCAGAGGAGGGATAAACCAGACTAGCTTAACCTTATTTCACCCTCATTACATCGGGTACACCGTTCTCCCAGGTGTGGGAGTGTTTATGACTGAGACACAGGATGTCTGTGGATTCCAGGTGCTGGAAATCTGTGGTCTAGGTAGTTGTTGCTTGGTCCTGATGCAGAACCTCTAGAAGCTGTAAGAAACAGGATGCTGTTCCGTATGTACCCGTATTGAGCCTGGAGTCTCCTGTTCTGTTCCTGGGCTCCATGGTCCCGCATCTGTCTGCTGCCACTGTCTTTTATGAATAATGCAACCAAGTGATCAGTTAAGACCTGGTCCAGCAGATCTGATTCCTGTGCAAGCTCTGCAGGATGAGCATATCTCAAATTCCAGGAAGGGTTCTCTGTATTTTCATTTTCGAGGCAGATTTATGTCGAGGCTGTTTTCTCACGTTGAGGGGTTTTGCCCATATCAAACCCATGCTGTCCGGGCTCCTCCGCCTTTCGGACTGGGGCCGGACCGGGCAGCTGAGCGAGTCCGAAGCAGAATCATCTCGGTTCCTGAAGGCCAGCGGACTGCAGCTAGAGCACTGAACACTAAATCAAGTTGGGTTGGGTGAATCGCATTAATACGTCTGTGTCTAGGAGCATACAAGCTGTTACAAGGGTACATTTCTTGAACATTGTACTATTCCAGCTCCTGCCATGGCCAGCGCCTTGTTTACTAGTATAAAAACCAGTCCAGTTCGTATTCCCAGGCTGCTGAGCAAATTCAGGTTTTCCTTTTCCGTGCTCGCCTGTCCTCTCCAGCTCCCCCTTGTCCGTCGGCATCGGGACGAATCCCGACAGCTGGTGATGTTTTAACACCTCTGCAGTGTGAGCTGCTCTTCCAAAACCAGGCTGGTGCTTCGATCCCGAAGGGGGGTGGGGTGGGAAATCTGTCAGGCAGGGAGAGCGAACCTGGCCTGGTTTCGGCACAGGAGATCACGGGATATCGACGTTCCTCTCTGGGAACGCTCGGTGCAGCCCTGCTGCGAGACACCGGTCCGAGCCCGGCAGGGATTTTCCCAACTCGGAGCCGAGGGCAGCAGGAACTGGGCCCTCTTGCCCTCTGTTGTCTTTCTGTTGCCTTCTTTTGTATCTCGTTTATTTTTGCACGTTTAACACTTCGGAAATGTCTGCTGCCCTGACTCTGCAGGACACGCACAGTCGAATTTCCTTTTGTAGGTACGGAAGAATGGTACATTGTTATCATGAGTAAAGTAATTCATGTGTACATTCTTTTTTTTTTGTTATGTTTGATAATTGTTATATGGTTTTTGATGGACTTTCTTGTACATAGCAAACTTTAAACCAAATAGCTGTAAAAGAAGAAATATTAATACTTTGTGTTACACAGAAAACCTTGTGCTTGCTGTACTCTGCCAGTCTCTCTTGGCCTGGGGGTCCCCTGAGAGTGAGCACGTGTGCGAGTGCCCTGGGGTGCTTGAACGTGTCAAATGGCTGACGGCGTGCCGACACTTTTCCACAAGGGTTGGCTCCCGCTCGGACAGAGGGCTGGGGTCAGCTCCCTGTCCCTTTGGCTTGATGCTCCGCCATCTTTACAGTGGCCTGGACTGAGGAGAACGAGGAGGGGAGCTTGTGATCTTAGACAGATGCGTCCCTTCTCTGCAGCTCGTGCTGGTCCTCTCTGGCGCGCGCAGCAGGGACGACGCTTGAGCCACCTGATCAAGGGCCACTAGCGCCCAGCCCTCCAGGTGGCGCTAGAGCCGCCTGGAGCTTTGTGATGAAGAGCACCCCACCTGGGCCTGTTAAGCAGGGGAGGCGGAGAGGGAGCAGGGTGTAAGACTGACCTGTATGTTCTTCATGCATGCTCGCTTGACAAGCCTGACTGAGGGGCGCAGTGTTACAGTGGGTTTCCTGTGCACCACGCCCATCGTCCAGGCCTGCTGCCCAGTTTCTGAGGGCCCCAGCCCCATGTCGACACGCGGACCGCACTGCCCCATGCAGCGCTAGGAGAGGTATTGCACTGACCACTCTTGGGGCAGGGAATTAGAGTGCTGCTGGCGAGTAACTGATCTCCAGCTCAGAAACAAAGACGTTTCCATAAAGCGTTTGGCAAAGACAAGCCATCTTTCCTGGACGCGTTCCCTCCCAGTTTCATTCCCCTGCCTGCCTTCGGATTGCTTTGTCTAAGTGTTTTCTCCAAGTTCCTGTCGGACAACTGGATTGTTGTCCCCGTATTCCCAGTTTGGTGGCAGGCAGGGGTCAGAGGTGCCATTGGATTGCCCCAGCATGCATCACTCTGGGCTGTGCCCTGGTCTGAAAGCAGTCGCGCCTCTTTTGGCTGCTGCAGGTTTTCTTTTTTAACATTTTCATGGATTTCAGTGATAAATGTTCCCTGCAGTTTCATTTTATTGGCTTTGATTATGTTGGTTTTTAAGATGAAAGAACATCTCTTTTTAATTCAGTAACACGGTCTGATATAGCAAGAGAAATGGCATTGAGTGTTTCTGTAATTACATATTTGAAGAAAAAAAGCAAAAAAATGAAAAAAAGCCAGTTTGTTTTAACTCCTGTTTATATTGTCCTGCCAGTGGTAACTGTACTGTTGCTATTGTTATCTTGAAATAATTAAAAATGGTAAATAAATGATTTCCCACACAGTACAACAGCCTCTTTTCTGTCTCAATACAGTATCGCTATATTGTGTAAAGCTCCGCCTATGTAGGGGGCACAAGCAGGCTCTGTTTGTGCAATCTTTGTGTGTGCCAGTAGAGGGCAGCAGATGCTAAGGGAAAGAGGAGCAGGGCTAATGAACAGAGAGCTGTTTTGTTCTCCAGTCGCTGTGAAAATAAGAGACCGTTTTTCTTGATCTTTCCTTTTATCCATATATGGGACAGTAGGTGCAGTGTGATTGTCGTGGTTGGGGAGAGAGGGAGGAGCACAGATCAGGGCTGTGATTCTGCCTTCAGAGACCAGGAGCTCCTGGCTGCATTCTGGGGCTTCAACAAGTTCAGGAGGGCTCTTCTGGTTTGTCCAAAATCCTGAAAATTAAACACAATGGTTTAATTGTTTCCCGTAGCACTGCTGAAACGCAGGCGTTTTTAAAGAAAAGTGCTGCCTTTGAAGAATCTTTTCCTGACTTTGTGAATTCCACTTCGGACAAATGATTTTAAGGTGCTGTGTATAAGCAGGTCCTTATGAACTGCGGTGGCATTTCTTAAATCTTTGTTTACCAGCTGTTTAAAGGTGGAAGAGCACTTAAGCCCGGCTGTCACATTGACACAGCTGTCTGAGCTAAATGTTTGAGCTGAATGTGTTCATGAACTGTCTTGTGTATATTACACTTTTGCGTGTTGTAAATAAGATGCCAAATGTTTATGATTTTTCAGCTACAGTGCCTTCAGAAAGTAGTCAGACCCCTCCACTTTTTTAACAGTATGTTGTGTTGTAGACATATTTCCAAAATGGATTGAATTGATTCTTTTTTGCCATTAAATCGACACACAATACCCCATAATGACAAAGTGGAAACACATTTTTAGGAAGTTTTGCAAATTAATTAAAGATAAAAAACTGTAATCTCAGATTTATGTAAGTATTCAGACCCTTTATTCAGTACTTTGTAGGACCACCTTTTGCAGCGATTACAGCTGCCAGTCTTCTTGGGTATGCTTCTACCAGCTTTGCACACCTGGATTTTGCAGTTTATCCCATTCTTCCTTGCAGATCCTCTCAAACTCTGTCAGATTGGACGGGGAGTGTTGGTGAACTGTAATCTTCAGGTCTCTCTGGGGTTCACGTCTGGGCTATGGCTGGGCCACTCAAGGACATTCAGAGACTTGTTCCGAAGCCACTCCAGTGTTGTCTTTGCTGTGTGCTTCGGATCGTTGTCGTGCTGAAAGGTGAATCTTCACCCTAGTCCGAGGTTGTGTGTGCTCTGGAGCAGGTTTTCCTCAAGGACCTCTCTGTATTTAGCTCCATTCATCTGTCCCTCAATCCTGACCAGTTTCCCAGTCCATGCCGCTGAGAAGCATCCCCACAGCATGATGCTGCCGCCACCAGGCTTCACTGTAGGGATGGTACTAGCCAGATGATGAGCGGTACCTGGTTTTCGCTAGAAATGGAGTTAAATTGTTGTCTCATCAGACCAGAGAATCTTTTTTCCTCATGCTCTCAGAGTCCTTTAAGTGCCATTTGGCAAACTCCATGTGGGTCATCATATGTCTTTTACTCAGGTGTGGTTTCCGTCTAGCCACTCTACCATAGAGACCTGATTGATGGAGTGCTGCAGAGATGGTTGTCCTTCCGGCAGGTTCTCCCATCTTTACACAGGAACTCTGACGCTCTCTTAGAGTGACCATTGGGTTCTTGGTCACCTCCCTGACCAAGGCCCTTCTTGCCCAACTTGGCTGGATGGCCAGCTCTAGGAAGAGTCTTGGTGGTACCAAACTTCTTCCGTTTGCCAATGATGGAGGCCACTGTGCTCATGGGAACCTTCGATGAATTGCCAATTTTTTTATACCCTTTTCCAGATCTATGCATTGATACAATCCTATCTCAGAGGTCTGCAGAGAGTTCCTTGGACTTCATGGCCTGGTGTTTACTCTGCCATGCACTGTGAACTGTGAGACCTTATAAAGACAGGTGTGTGCCATTCTAAATCATGTCCAATCAAGTGAATTTGCCACAGGTGGATCAAGTTCTAGAGACATCTCAAAGATGATCAATAGAAAAAGATGCAAATTAGCTCAACCTGGAGTGTCATAGTAAAGGGTCGGAATACTTATATAAATGAGAGATTTCAGTTTTCTATTTTTAATAAATTTGCAAAAATTCCTAAAAACATGTTTTCACTTTGTCATTATGGGGTATTATGTGTCAATTAATGGCAAAAAAGAATCAATTCAATCTATTTTGAAATAAGTCTACAACACAACAAAGTGTGGAAAAAGTGGAGGGGTCTGAATACTTTCTGAAGGCACTGTACTGTACGTGTGTTCTACAGTGGGAATTTAGTACCAGTTATGTTGCCCGAATAAAAAATGAGCTGGTTAAAAGCTATCAGTGAACTGTTTGCTTCATAATTACACCAGTCCAGTACTTTTTAACTGTTTAGGGATCCAGAAGGAGCAGGGCAGTGGCCAAACTATTCCACTTGAGAACTGTGTGAGCACAGAGCTCTCGGCCAGCTTTGGTTCCTGATGTGGAAACTCCGAACATGCAGCCCCAAAGACTCGCTGTGTGCCCCCCTATCGCAGTGAGCTGGGCTTCAGAGGTGGTCTTCCCAGCTCCCCTGGTCCACCTGCTTGACTTCGAGCAGCTTCTGACTTCAGAACTGGGCAGAGCCAAGCCGCGGCAAGCTGTCCTGCTGTCCTGCGGAGACTCGGCGCCGCTGATGTCTCGCTTGTTTGTTTTGCCCTGGTGAAGAGAACAGAAAAGCTCCACTCCCCACCCCCCCAGACAGGGTCCGGCCCAGCAATGGCAAGGCGCCAGGGCTGCTGGTTCTGGAGAATCGGGCCAGGCTGTGGAGGAGAAGGGGACACTTTAACGAGCCTGTTCTGGTTCTGATGACAAATCCTGAAACTGCGAAGGCACTTATTTTCTCCTGTACGCCGATGCGTTAGTCTGCATTACTGCAGAGACATGATTATCACCACTGAAAAGGTCACGGTTCTTCCGGGAGGGGGCTGCTGGTTGTCTGGAGGTGTTCCCAGGGCCCGGAGCAGGGAACAATGGGGCTACATTACCAGCGCTGAAAGGATATGTGTCAGTTTTCCCAGCTGACTGCTCTGTTGCGACGCTGCAGTGAATGTAAGATTAAGCCAGGGGCGCAGACGCTGACTGTGGGCGCTGAAAAGGGCCTTTCTCCCTGACAGCAGGCCCCAGGAACTGGCTGAACACTTCCTGCCGAAGCCAATCACAGTGGAAGAGCGAATCTGCATCTCCGTCTGCGCCCCCCCCACCCCCCCTCCAGGCCATTGTGCAGTGTGGGAGCCCCTTTCAGTGTTGTTTGCATACTTCAGGGAGCCTGCCCTGGCCCTCGAACCCTCGCCATGGCAACGCCAAGATCCATTCTTCACCGCTTGCCAGCAAATCCCAGCCCCTCCCCCCCAAAAAAACCCACTCTTTCCCCCCCCCACACTCACAAAAACACAAGACAAACATTGTCTTAGTGCTGGAGTTCTCTCAAGGGAAACAAGCAAGGCTCCTATTCATGGGCGGAAGAAGAGCTGCCCCAGGACTGTGGGACTTTCAAGACCTATTACTCCGCCCTGAGTGAGCTCTGTACAAAGGGGTCCTGTGTGAAACCCACACAACAGCAGGGCGGGGTAGGGACAGGTGAGACAGCCCGAGAGAGAC